AAAGGTGCTCCAGCCCTTGTATCATCTTCATGGTGTTCTCTGGACCTGCTCCAACAGCTCCATGTCCTTCTGATGTTGGTGGCCCCAGAGCTGAACGCAGTACTCCAGGTGGAGTCTCACAAGAGCAGAGTAGGGGGGCAGAATCACCTCCCTCGACCTGCTGGCCATGCTTCTTTGGATGCAACCCAGGATATGTTTGGCTTTCTCGGCTGCAAGTGCACATTAACGGCTCATGTTGAGCTTCTCCCCAACCAACACCCCCAAGTCCTTCTCCTCAGGGCTGCTCTTAACCCACTCTCTGCCCAGCCCGTACTTGTGCTTGGGATTGCCCAACCCATGTGCAGGACCTTGCACTTGGCCAGCTTCTTTGGATGCAACCCAGGATATGTTTGGCTTTCTCGGCTGCAAGTGCACATTAACGGCTCATGTTGAGCTTCTCCCCAACCAACACCCCCAAGTCCTTCTCCTCAGGGCTGCTCTTAACCCACTCTCTGCCCAGCCCGTACTTGTGCTTGGGATTGCCCAACCCATGTGCAGGACCTTGCACTTGGCCTTGTTGAATTTTAAGCCTGTCAAGGTCCTTCTGGAGGGCATCCCTTCCCTCCAGCGTGTTGACCACACCACACAGCTTGGTGTCATCAGCAAACTTGCTGAGGGTGCACTCAATCCCACTGTCCATGTCACCAACAAAGACATTAAACACCACCGACCCCAACAGCGACCCCTGAGGAAAATCACTGGTCTCCCCTTGGACATCAAGCTGTTGACCACAAGTCTTTGAGTGCAACCATCCAGCCAATTCTTTATCCACTGAGTGGTCTGTATGTCAAATCCATGTCTCTCCAATTTAGAGACAAGGACGTCATGCAGGACAGCGTCAAACGCTTTGGACAAGTCCGGATAGATGTCAGTTGCTCTTCCCTTCTCTACCAATGCTGCAATCCTGCTGTAGAACACCACCAAATTTGTCAGACACGATTTGCCCTTAGTGAAGCCATATTTGGCTGTCATCGATCACCTCCTTTTTTTCCATGTGTATTAGCACAGCTTTTAGGAGGATCTGCTCCATGATCTTGCCAGGCACAGTGAGACTGACTTGGCCTGTAGTTCCCTAGGTCTTCCTTTTTTCTCTTTTTAAAAATGGAGGCTATGTTTCCCCTTTTCCAGTCAGTGGGAACTTCACCAGACTGCCATGACTTCTCAAATATGATGGATAGTGGTTTAGCAACTGATCTTAAATGACCCCATATCTTTGTATTATACCTGGTAGAAAAACAAATCAAGAAATGTTCCTTGCTTTTAAGAATTACAGTCTAAAACACACAAAGAAATGCTTTATGACTAACATCAGAATTCTCCTCTGAAGAGTTAAAAAAAATATTCTTCCCAGCCCCAACTCAATGCACCTGAACTTCAAGGCTGCTGTTCTTTCTGTTAAGCAGGTGCTATACCAATATAGGTATGCAAGCAATAATTGCATTAAGTATTGAAATTAACAATTAGAAAGATATGCTTAAATTCTTTCTGCTTTTTTATAATATTTAGAAAGGGGAAAAAAAACAAAACACAGTGACAACTTAATTTTCCTTACATTTTGTTTGCTTAAATTCTGATAAATTTTTCTTCTTAAAAACACAACACTCACCTTTTCAGCACTTGAATGAAATGCTACAGCCGTTTCCAGTCGGTGCACTCTTTCTTCAGAAGTTATTGTAAACTGTTTCCACACTCTGTTCAGTCTTGGAAGCGTGTCGCCTGAAGACCTTGAAGTGCATCGCAGGGACTGGCACAGGACAACAGTTGCCTGTAGTAACTGTCTCCCATAATCATAAGTACTCTAAAAGTTGGAGGAGATGGAGAGAAAGTACACATAAAAACTCTGCATTTAATTTAGGATCTGATTAGCATCTTAAAGCAACAGCAGACAAGTTTGAGATCTCCTCAATTTAGGTCCACAAAACACATGAAACTAATCTGGTCAACTAGAAAACACTGCTGAAGCACGAATAAAATTGCAATGACCAACCAGTGCTTTTGCTCTTTAAAAAAAAAAAAAATAATCCCCTGTTGTCCAGTGTTCACACTGGCAAAAGAACAGAGCTTCCTGAAAACGTCAAACAGCTGCTCTGATCTTACATGGGATACTTGATATCTACTGCCAAGATGACTGTCTCACTGACTTCACTGCCACCATGTTTCTGGTCACCCAGCATCCAGACACGTTGTGGCACATCATTATAAGAGCAAGCTACCCTCCTGCCATCCTCGGTTCTAATTCATCAAAACAGAAAAATCAGTTCCAGTGTATAACAGATGCAATTTGAAAACAGTACATCTGTTAATTAGCAAGTCTGAATTAGACATTTCTAAAAGCAGTATACATCTGAAAGAGCACCTGAAAAAAAAGGCTCAGCTTGTACCCTTTCTATTCTTAAGTGAAATTCTTTCACGTGTACCTGGCACATGTTTGCATATTCAGGATTTGAAAAAAAGATATGCAAACACACCCTATGGTCTCAGTGAATTTCAGTAGACTCTTGTACAGCAGATTCATTAGTTGGCTGCTATGGTCAACAATTAAAGCTGTCAGTTCTGTTACTATTCAAAGTAAGTTCTGTTACTATTCAAAGTTAACTGAATGGTTACTATTCAAAAAGGAAATTCTGGAGGCACAGGAGCGAGCTGTCCCCGTGTGCCGGAAGTCGAGCCGCCGGGGTAGAAAACCAGCTTGGATGACAAAGGAGATTTGGGAACATCTCAAAAGAAAAAGGGATGCCTATAAGTCTTGGAAGAATGGGCAGGCATCCAGGAATCAATACAGGGAGGAAGTTAGGACATGTAGGGAGATAATCAGGGGGGCAAAAGCCCAATTGGAACTTAGACTAGCCTGCTCCGTAAGGGACAACAAAAAGTCTTTCTATAAATATATCAATAACAAAAGGAGGGCTAAAGATCACC